GGCTCTGCAAGACGAGGTCAAGTTGGTAAATGTGTTTCTAGGAACCAAAAAACATATAATGTTCCTAGACTGATTGATGGTTTTCCAAATTGTAAGATAGTAAATATATATGCCAATGGTGATCACAGTGCTGTTGGATGGTAAGCTTTGTAGTTCTGTAGTTGTTGACTCTCATCTTCTCTTCAGTCTTGGACCATAATCCCCCTTCCATTTGATGTGACAGAATCTGGTCATCTGTACATCTGGGGAAGAGCATTAATTGGAGAAGATGATGATGACCAACCACTGCGAATTTTACCCTCTTCGAGTGTTTCTCAAGTGGCACTAGGATGGCACCATGCATTAGTTTTATCTGGTGCGTGTGCAATGTGTTTCATTCGAACTATACTTTCTGGATAATAAGCTCTCACATTTATTGCCACTTTGTATCACAGCTGGAGAATTGTACACACTTGGTGTTTACCGCCACCAGAAATGTGATCTCCCTGGATTAGGAAATGTATTGGGGCAGCAATCGAACACAAGGGCAACAAGCAGCTCTCATGATCGTTCATCTTCTTTGTCAATGTTGGAGACGGTTCCATTTATTGATGGAGAACAGGTGGTGCAGATAGCAAGTGGAACTGAGCATTCCGCTTTGGTAACAGGTAAAAGTTCTTCCAAAGGCTGGTGATGTGCACATAAGAAAAAGAAATTCACGATGAAACCAACTAATTTGATCTTGCTTATTTTGTTGTCAGATAAAGGAACAGTCTTCACCTGGGGCTGGGGAGAGCATGGACAACTTGGTTTGGGCGACACTTCGGATCATGTGGCTCCTCAGAGAATAGATATAGGTGACAATGGGCAGCGCACGTCTGGTTCACTTGCCGTCTACTGTGGGAGTGGATTTACCATTGCGGTGAAATCGCCCGTAGTGGCTGTCTAGTTTGTGATGCACATACCAAATTCTCCTTGCAACACAACAGCAAGAATAAACAGCAGACAGCACTTTGTTGTGATGCCATGAAGATAATTTTTGAATTGTTTGTGCAAATATTTTGGCGCCTCTGATTTTGAGCGACACATTTGACTTTGCCATTAGAGGTGGAGCTGAGAGAGCCTGGGAGAAAAATAAGAGTACAATATCGTTCGGTGGCTATTTTCATCATTGCACAGAACCATATTCTGAGGCTGCCTACAAAATAAATAACACAGTAGTGACGCGTCTGGTTCTCGTTTGTAAACAAAACGATATTCCTGGATGCTTCCTCCAAAAACGTCAAGCTGATGAGCGCTGGCCTTGCGAGTGAAGACAACACGGCAGATGTCTGCAACTGCACCTTTCTTCAGAAGAATCCGGCCATACACAACGCTGGTAGACGCTAATCGGCTGGCTATACAGGAAGATACACGACTCTTGTGGAACCAAACGGCTCATTTCAACTAAAACATGCATATTCTAGCCATGTCTTAGCTCACGCAGGCTGTAGTTGGTAATAATAAGTCTAATCGAGAGTAAACAAAGAGTGTGTCAGGGAGTTTGAACGTTGAAGGAAAGGATACAACAAGTCCTTGATCTCGTGGCAGTAACTGGTAAGCATCAGTACGATATGGTCAGAAAATATGCATGCAGACGCCTCCCAAATGGGCCGCCTGCTGCCTTGGCATATTCAGGTTGGATGCTCGTGTTCCTCCGGCGACCTCGACGTCGATGACGGGGACGGGGGCGCCAATGGAACCGCGGGCCAGTTTCGCCTGATTTTGGCTGGTCTTTTAACGGCAGCATTTCCCCGGATATTCTGGTGAAGAGCTGAGGTGATTTTTAAATCCAGGGCTAAAGTTTTGGGGTGTCACGTGGGAGTGTTTGCATAGTAATAATAAAACAAATCATAGAAGTCCTCGGAATCCGTGAGACGAATTTATTAAGCCTAATTAATCCATCGTTAGCACATGTTTACAGTAGCTTTACTGTAGCACCACATTGTCAAATCATTGACTAATTAGGTTTAAAAAATTCGTCTCGCAAAGTAGTTGCAATATGTGCAATTAGTTATTTTTTTAGTCTATATTTAATATTCCATGCATGTGTCAAAACATACGATGTGATAGGGACTAAACTTTAGGGGTAGGAACTAAGCAAGGACTGAATGTTCTTAAAATATTCCGACCTAGTATCTCTTCTTGTCAGGTTTAGACCCTTTGAATCGTAGGATTTTTTTTCCTCTCATTTCCTCTGTTTTTTCTATGAAAATAAACTAATTCCCCTATAAAATTTCTACGTTCTAAGTCTTAGGCTCCGTTTTGAAGGGCTTTCAACAGCTCTGGCTCCCTAACTCGTGTACTGTTCATAAAAAAATCTCTTTCTCTTCTCTAAATAAACTAGAAATCGAGAAAAGCTAGTTTTTTTTTTTTGGCTCATCTGACTAGCTCTTTGGTTAGTGTAGTATAGAGCCGGAGCCAGGAAGAGCCCAGCCAAATAGACTCTTAGGGCCCGTTTGGAGGGGCTCCGGCTCCGGCTACTGTAGCACCACTGTGGAGGAGCCGCCGGAGCCTTCAAACACTGGCTCCTCCAGCTCCTCATCATTCTTAGTTAAAAACTACCAGAGCCGGAGTTGCTGCAATGGCTGCTACAGGATTGTACCGTGATGCACAGGACATGCGCAGGCGGAGCCGGAGCCCTGCGGAGCCAAACCAAACGAGGCCTTAGTAGTTGACAAGATCAGACGCAATTTATGTGCTTCTTTCTTACCATTGGCGGTCCCAAGGCCCGGCCACCCCGGGCGTCTGCATCGAAGGAAACAGGGAGACGATCAGCCTTCAGGCTTCAACCTGCAGTGCTGCAGAAACCTGATAGAAGAAGCAGAACAACATTAATTTAAAACTGTACAAAGCCAAAGATGGCGGAGATTTAGCTCTCAGGGATTAATTCGTCTAGCTTCTTGCATCCAGCGAGTACCCAGCTTATCAAATTGAATAATTGATCTTTGCTATTTATTTTTGTGGGTACCTATATCTAACTGATGGATCATCATTTTTCCACGGTTTAAGAATAAGAAAATAGAGTTGGCACGCACCGTAGGCTTGCAAAGACACACTCCTTTGAAGACTTTTAGTGGAAAATTGCTAACATATAATCAATTTTAGTGTCATATAGCGACACAATTGCTATGATATGTCTTGCTTCTTAATGTACACTGCTAAATGTTTTTTTTTTTTGACAAAGGTAAACCGAACTTTTATAGAAAGCACAAATGTAACATTGTTTCAACAGAAAATGGTTAATTTTATTTTAAAACAACTAATATTGTCGACTTTGCTTATGTTAGTGGTGGATATGTTCGTGTGAACTTGGTAGTAGCTCTTGCGTTCGCCCAGGCTCTAGAAAATATCTAGGTCCCCCACTGTTTCCTACCTTACTTTAGTATTGTTCTCCATCCTTTTATGTTGCCGCTTTTGAACCTACTGACATTTCATGGGTGCCCTGCTTATCATGGGATGTGAATGGCTGAGGCTTCATCTAAGATTTGGTACTCCTACCTTGCAATTATTCCCGTCTGCCCCTCCCCTCCAGCCTTAGTTGTATAAGCATTAATTAATCTTACTGAAACTTCAGGTAGACTGTAGTGCAAAGGAAATACTCCATCGCTGAGGCTCCAAAAGGTAAAAAAGAATTGCTCATACACAAAATTACAATAGCAATTACAGAAGACGAGCTCGTGACTAGAAAATTTCCTGCACTGTTTGTTTCACTGAAATTTGGCTGTTGCTGATGCTGATTCTGATTGGTTATGAGAGGAAAATATTGTTCGTTTGCTGAAAAGTACTGCTGAAGTAGTGCTGAAAAACAGAGCGGACCATCAACTATCACGTGGGGATGTTTTCATCGCCATTTTCCTCTCATCCTAATAAGCATCTCATGGCCCTCTATAATGTGTGCAACCCCATCACAAGTTTCACTTCTTATCTGCTTTAGAAAAACTCACTAATTATCTTGTACTCTCTCTAATAAAGAAAAGATAACATTTTCAGATTTTGGATGTCATATCTTTTTTTTGAAAAAAAAACTTTTGTTTTTAGCGCACACAAATCTACCTCCAACAATCTTTGCATTATTCCTTTTCCCCCTAAATTTTATAACAATACTCTCTCCCTCCACCTCCATCAATATAAAATATATTTTAGTAACAGAAAAGTCTTCTAGAGTAGATTTTGACTCTTATTTCTGTTACTATGCATTATCAATGGCTGAAAACTTAATACCATCTTACAATTCCGTTTAATACACATTTTTATGCAAATTTTTGTACACTAGACATGTATACAATTTGAGCAATTTCTGGTCAAAACTTGCGAAGTTTGAATTTTTTTTCTACAGTAGCATTATATTGATGGGCGAATGGGTATGTCAGTGCAATGATTGATTACATTACAGAGCAAGATGCTCCTTTTTTTTAAGAAAAAAAGGAAGAAATGTGTGGGAAAGATCGATTACATTACAGAGCAAGCATTTGCCACCTTACAAAGTGACAGACTAATTCGCAAGTAAAAAGTGACAGAATATCTCACTAACAAGATCTAGGCTAAATAATAATCTTTTTTACAGTTGTAGTTAGACAAAGGTGAAAAGGACAAGAGAATAATGAAAAATTATCAATGAATTCAAATATACTATTAGGCTGTTCTCGACCTCACAATTTCGAAGAATCCAGCCAAGAACACTTTAATGTGTACCATATGTATACAGTACACTGTCAAACAGACCTAAAGTTTTTTTTTCTCTGTTTTTCAATATAGAACTGGAAAGAAATGGCGAGAGCAATCTCCTTATCACGCACCCCTCCGGGCTTCGGCTGCTCACTAGTTCGCTCTCCCCCTTCCTCACAAGTCACAAAGGTTCAAGACGTCTGATGAGGTTCCAGTCCTGAGTAGTGTAATAAATGTCCAAGAAACAAACATTCCCTTTCGAGCCATAATAGTCTGCTCTTTCCGCGGAAAGCAAAGGGGGTGACGGTGAGGGGATGGCGAGGCGCAATGATGGCTGGGGCGACGGCGACGGCGACAAGATCAAGATTGGTGTCTGCGTCATGGAGAAAACGGTCACCGGTTGGACTCTGGGGAAACTAATGTTTTGATGCCTGCGTTTCTTCTTGCTGATTTGATTGATTTTCCCTGTGGAAACTTTGTAGGTGTCGTGTTCTCCCATGGAACAGATTCTTGAAAGGCTGCGCGCGTTCGGCGAGTTCGAGGTATGGCTCAGAAATGTGCTATGCCGGTGGATTATCCTTTGCGTTCCGTTCCTATTCTTGCTGATTACTTGTTCGTGTTTTTCTAAATAAATGAACAAAGGCGAATACAGTTTACTAAATGATATGAAATAAGAAGCCGTAATTATACAATCTGCGATTTTGCTTCCACTTTCCTTTACATGTTATATAGAAGGTTGATTTCTGGAAGTTACATTGTTCGATCCCGTGAAACTTAAACTCTGCCATTTTGTGACATCATGAATATGCTACCAGCCTACCATGGCATGGTCCTTGGTTTTTTTGTGTTAATACAATATAAATCCCATCCAATTCATAATCTCTGTATTTTTTACCCCTTTTTTCCCTGAAGAAGCAGGACAGTTCAGTTTATACTTTAACTTTATACTTCTGGCCCTGTTGGTGTTCAAATGTCTGAATCCTGAAACTACTTTGCAAGCAACTTCAATAACTATTTGTATTATACTGAATATCAAGAGGTTAAAATAATATGTTTATGCTTTGTGGGTGCAGATTATAATTTTTGGTGACAAAGTGATTCTTGAAGATCCCATTGAAAGGCAAAGTTCAGCTAGGCGCTAGGCAGAATCTAGGTGCTGACCCATTGCCTAGCGCCTAGTCGGAAGTACTCGGTCTTAGGCGCTCCTAGGCGTTTTGGCAATATAGCCATAAATTATATATATATTATGTATATAACTATATATATGTATATAACCAAAGTTCAGCTACGACGAGCAGGACCGGCGGCGCGTGAGTCGGGGACGAGCAGGGGACGAGCTTGGACAAGCAGGGGAGGAGCAGAGGAGGAGCAGGACCGGCGGGAGGAGCAGGACCGGCGGGGAGGAGGTCGTCCGGCGGGATGGACCTCGCCCGGCGAGGAGGACCGGCGGCGGGGACGACCAAATCTTACGCGGGGACGAGCGAATGGCGCCGCGCTCCCTTCTAATCCTCCCGCGCCTAGGTCTCGTGGCCGCGCGGGAATTCCTCCCGCGCTCCGATTTGGCTCGCCAAAATTGGCCGCCCTCGAGCTCGCGCTCATCTCGCGCGCCTACGCGCCGCCTAGCGCCGCGATGCGCGACTATGCCCCTAGTCGCGGCGACGGGCTTCGCCTAGCGACTAGGCGCGCGTAGTCGCCGCCTAGCCGAACTTTGTTGAAAGGTATGTTAGATAAGTGCGAAGAGTAAATCTTTTAAGAAATCTGGTTGCAAATTTTCTGTGCATTGATGAAAATTAAGTAGTGAATTGTGCAGACAAAAATTTACTTGAAGTATGAGGTTAGGATAAATACCATTAACTAATGGTACCACTCTAGCATGACTATCTAATCATTATTAAGCAAGTAACTGATACTATCTGTCCCGCTGTTCAAAATACTTGGGGTTTATTTTTACTTAGGTGTATAATCCCATCACCCATGAGCTTTGCAGAAGTCTCGGCTTTCCAGGGAGGATTTATTCTGTGTTTCTGGATAAATCTTATCTCACATTAATTATGTGATGTCCTTTAGTCATCATTATCTGTTAACTATGTTTGTGTTGAGTTGTAGGCCAACATTTTATTTGGTGACACCATCCTAAGTTCAAGTTGGCACATTCATTATACTAACTGTTACTGTTTTTTTTGGCAGTTGGCCTATATGTGATTGTCTAATCGCCTTTTACTCGTCTGGGTATCCACTAGAAAAGGCAGAGAAATATGCAGCTTTACGAAGGTTAAATACCTCCCCAGATTCAAGCATAGCACTTGTAAAGTGTTGTATTTAAATATGTACTGCCTCCATTCTAAATTGTAAGCCGTTTTGACTTTTCTAGATATATAACTTTTGCCATGCACCTAGATATACGCTTATGTTTAGATACATAGTAAAAACTATTTATCTAAAAAAGCGAAAATGACCTACAATTTGGAACGGAGGAGTATTAGATATTTGATCCATGTGTGGCTTACATATTGAATTATGGATTTACTAGTTCTAGTGTTATTCCAAATACACTTTCTTTTAGTCTGCAAGATCTACATCAATCAATTTTCTCTTAATCTGTTACAGTTAACTCGAATGCACCCTTGACTAATAGTTCAGTCTAAACCAACTCTCCTAGTAATAATATTTTTGGAATCCTATCATCGTGACATTTATTTTCCTAGACATGAGTTCCTCTATGCCCTTTCCCATGACTGAAGAAATGAAACAGAACTTCAGAAGTTATATTTTCTTAATATATTCCTTTTGCTTCTTGCTTGGACAAACATGCAAGTGACAAATACATTTGATTGCAAGCAAGGGGGCTCATGAGTTCCTATGAAGTAACTTAGATATTGTTCTTTAGGCCCTTTTTGGTGAACGAGCTGGCCCCGCAATACCTCCTTCATGACCGCAGCAAAGTATATCAGGTATTAACATTACTAATTCCTTGGTCGTCAAATGAGTTTCTGTTGTCTCTATTAGATGCTTTTAAGCTGGATTACTTCCCTTTCTCTATTTTTTTGAGGGGGTGCTAATTTGAACTAAATAGAGAACAAACAAATTTTCGTTCTTAGTTTTTAAAATAACAGAATATAAACCAAAAAGACGGCAGTAATATTATGCGTGGACGTCTCCTGTTTAACCTTAACACTCTGAATTTACCCTTTTTCTGAATCTCTTTCTCTCCCCAAAAAAAGTGGGACCAACGTAAGAGGAACTAGCCGGTTTTTCAATAAGAAGAAAATAGGCACCCAATTCAAGAAGAAGAGGACTTGAATCTAGGTGCTTGGGCCCATTACCACACCTCTCTCTCACCCAGTTGGGCTCACTTCCTAATCGCACACCCACCCCTCTCTCTGCTTGCCATGACCATTGTGTGTACTTCATTTGGCCTTATGATAAAATAACTGTTACTCACTAGCAGATATTCTAGGTAGGTTTCATGGGAATAGATGATTTATGTCATGTGGGGCGTCCAGTACCGACGCCGGCCGCGCGTCCAGGAGCAGAATTAGGCATGCAGGCATGCAGATCATCAATCAAATATTGCTAGAATAAAGGAGTTTGTTTCCTTTTGTTAGCAGGCCACGGGCCTATATAACTCATGTAATCGGCACTCTTTGGATTAAGCAAGAATGATCAACCCTAATCCTCCCTCTTCTTCCTAATCTCACCTCCTTCACCATTGGGCAGCCGGGCAACAACCCCGACGCCATTACTCGTCAAGGCTACGAGCTCCGTAGCCGAGGACCCGCTGTCTTGGGCATCGACGCCCTTGACAACCTGGTATCACGATCCAGGCCTTCCTCACCCAGCCGCCCACCATCGCCACCACCGCCGTCCCGCCCTTCCTCTGCGCCGCCCACCCCACGCCGCGTAGACGCCATGGGTGACAACACCGTTAACAACGCCAACAACGCCGCCTTGCAGGCGACCTTGGACTCCCTGGTCGCGTCCATCAGGACGCTCCAGACGTCCGTGGAGGCCAACGCCTAGGCCATCCAGCGCCTGGACGCCGCGCGCCCACCGCCAGGCGGATCGTCATCCTCCGCACACTCCGGGTCGGGGGAGCACCACCAAGATCGGCCGCCGCGTTTCCAAAAGCTCGACTTCCCGCGCTATGACGGCAAGTCCGACCCGCTGATCTTCATCAACCGGTGCGAATCCTACTTCCACCAGCAAAGGATCATGGAGGAAGAGAAAGTGTGGATGGCTTCCTACAACTTGGAGGAGGGCGCCCAGCTGTGGTACATCCAGGTCCAGGCAGACGAGGGCATGACCCGCTGTCTTGGGCATCGATGCCCTTGACAATTTATAATCCAATTGTACTTACAGAAAGATTTTCTTCTGAAACCAATAGAAAAGTCTGATGAACTCTAGTTTGCAAAGGTTCTATTGTCTTGTAATATAGTCCAAACATACATTATCTTGTTCCAAAATGTTGATTTTTCTTTTCTCTTTCTCTTTTTGCCATTTAGCAACTTAAGTTGTATGGGGTTCCTGTTCCAACCTATGCTGTTGTCAGAAGAGAGTACCCTAATCAAGAATTAAGCTACTTTGTTGAGGAAGATGATTTTATTGAGATCCATGGGAAGCGGTTTTGCAAGCCTTTTGTGGAGAAACCCATTGATGGTAACAGCTCATAATTTGATAAGTTTTATAATGTCCTTCTCTTGCTCTATTTCTTGTTGACTCTTCTCTGTGTGGGGTCTAATAATGTCAGCTGTCATTTTTGTTTGGCCCAATACATTTATGCCCAAAGGGATGGAAAAAGTGGTACTCTAGCTGAGAAGACTAAGCTTGACTTCATGGCAGGATGCTATATTTGAGCTTACTACTTGAGAAAGGGAAATAAATCCATCCATATAACATTCTAACTCACCAACCACTCAATAATTTTCTGTATATGAACAGTACACAGCTAAACATGTGATGATGCACCAGGGCACAACACAGGTCTATTGGTCTAAGGCTTTTTGTCCAGTAATAGTTTATTAAAATTCTGTAAGGTATCTCATTAACATGGCACCTGGACCTTGCAGTGCTATGGATCTAACAAAAGATTATCAGGTATTTTCAAGACATGTTTTGACTCCTGAAGCATGCTGAAGACTCTTTTTCTTCCTTTTTTTCACTTTATAAAGACACATGCCCCTCTTGGGTCTTGTACAACCTAGTTTTCCTTTCTTCTACATGATATATATAACTAGATACCACAGTAGGGGCTGTTTTTTTCCCTAAAACAAATGCTGAAGCCTTGACACTTTGCTTCCAGAGTCCAGACATTATGCGTAAACTTTGGGTTTAATACAAATTCTGATAGACAGTGTCAGTTGTTTTAACCCCCCCACCACCACTTTTTACATTTTTATTCTTTGTTTTTGTGGCTATTGTTGGCCTTCATCTCTAGCCTATCCCAAGTTGCTTGGGTCTAAAACTCTTTCTTGTTGTCACCTATCAAATATTGGACAGTTTTTTTTTCCTGAAGTGTGTTTATGACTTTATGTTCATTGTTTGTCTTCAACTCTTACTTTTCTTTACTGTGAAAACTTACCTCATTAACTCCACAATTATTCTGTAATGATTCTTTATTTGTATTTTTCTGTATGCAAGCTAATGAGTATTGATGCATGCAAAATTAGTCAAGTAATATCCAACACCTATATCGTATTGTATCTTTGTAAAATAACAGAATAAACATGTTTCTGCTGCTTACAATTGTTGTTGTTTGAAGGTGATGACCATAACATAATGATATACTATCCTAGCTCAGCTGGTGGAGGAATGAAAGAACTGTTTCGTAAGGTGAGGATTTATTACCTTCAAGTTCAAGTTGATACCATAGCTATGATTGAATGTGGCCACCTGTTATGGTATTCAATATTTCTGTCAACAATTTCACTCATCATAATTTTCTTCTGTTAAATAAGTTATAGACAATATAAGCTAAAATAGACTATCAGGCAATCTGCTTTATGTTCTAACATTTTGCTTATTCTTATCCATTTTTGTTATCGAGCTGATGCCATCAAGCTTTCTCACTAGTCACTAACTTAGTTCAAGAGTATTACAGTGAACTAGCATCTTTGATGTTTGTTCAGTACTTCAGTGTAGTAAACTGCTAGATAAACGATAAAGAATAAGCTCCAACAATACATACTATGTGGTTATTTTGTTCAAGTGTTCCTATGGTTACTTCTTTGATATAAACAAGTTCATGTCTGTTATTCATCTTATCATAAATGTGTATTTCAAAATTTCTCCAAAATGCACTGACCTGACAAAATTCTTCCTATGAATACATAGGTTGGTAATCGATCTAGTGAGTTTTATCCATATGTGAGGAAGGTGAGGCGAGATGGATCTTACATTTACGAGGAGTTCATGCCTACACGAGGGACAGATGTCAAGGTGGCAAACCTTGCTAACTTATTATTTCATATATTTCTTTATTTAGAGTAGTCCTCTCCTACTGTCATCCTCAAAAGGAAGTGCTGAGCATGGTATTTGACATTCATTGTAGGTTTATACAGTTGGGCCTGTATATGCACATGCTGAAGCACAGAAGTCTCCAGTTGTGGATGGGGTTGTCATGAGGAATTCTGATGGAAAAGAGGTACTGTTCCTTACCTTGTTGGGACAGGATTCGTCTCATTCTATACGTTAAACCTCTGTTTATAACATGCTGACTGAAACTCAAACCCTTTTTACGTAGAAAAGGGTGTGTGTTTCCCATATGCACAATGTAGCACTGCTGCATTATAATATTTCTCTTGCTTGAAGGTGCGCTATCCTGTTCTATTAACCCCTTCTGAGAAACAAATCGCAAGGAGCATTTGCCAAGCCTTCAGACAAGCGGTAAATTAAACCCCTTTCTACCAAATTACACTAAAGTAAACAACATGATTGCTTTTTGTTGGTTTGGAAGATTTAATTTGCAATCAATGATATATCTAAGTTAACGGAGAACAGATTAGTAACAGGTTGTTTACTAGAAACTGGTGGGGGGCCTGGAAATTTTGTTAAAAATCCTAATAAAATAACGGCAAATTTTGCTCATGAACACCGCTCAATCATGTAATTTGCTGATGTACACCGCCAACTCCAAAATTTGCCCAGAACCATTATCAAATTGTGTTTCTTTGCCGCTGGACACCGCGGCCATCAAAATAATCATTCCACATTCTGGGAGAGAGAAAGGGCAGTGAATAGACCATATTGCCCCTACGGTTGTCCTCCTCCTCTTGAATTTTCCAATTTCTTTCTGCAGGTGTGCGGCTTTGATCTTCTAAGGTGCGACTTGGGAGAGGCAACATCCTATGTATGTGATGTTAATGGCTGAAGTTTCGTGAAAAGTTCATACAAGTAAACATTCTGTCACAACAAATATTGTAACTTTTTACACTAGATAAGAGCCCTTGCTATATCTTATTTAGAGGGTGAGCGCTTCCTAATCCAGGTACTATGATGATGATGCATGCATTCTGAGGAAAATCTTTCTTGATGAGAAAGCTCCACATATTCCATCAACCATTCCTACTAGTCTTCCATGGAAAATCAGTGAGCCAGTCCAACCATCTGATGCTGTGAGATGTCGTGAGAGGGGAACTGTTGGAATATCTAGGCCATCAGAAGAGCTGCGCTGTGTCATAGCTGTTATACGCCAGTAAGTATAATAATTAAGAACTTAATCTCCTCAAATCATATAACCATCAAAATGCTTTCTGATACTATAAAGGCATGCCTACTTCAAATTGTAAGTGGGGATCGCACACCAAAGCAGAAGGTGAAACTAAAAGTAACTGAAGAAAAGCTTTTGAAATTGATGTTGAAATACAATGGTGGAAAGGCCCGTGCAGAGGTGTGGCAGTCCAGTTCATTTTATCTTTCGTTCATTCACAGCGTTTGTTCTTTTGCTTGATCTGATCTTTTTATTGTTATTGTTCAGGCTAAGCTTAAAAGCGCTTTGCAGCTGCAAGATCTATTAGATGCAACAAGAATCCTGGTTCCGCGTGCTAGGTATGTTTCTATAGTGTCAATTTCTCATCTCTTATTGTTTATGAACCTTTAGGCAATCATCTTATCAAGACTATGTATATGCTCTTAGTTGATTCCTACCTTCACTGTTTTCCACCCAAGCCATTATGCCATAGTAACTGTGAAATGAATACTATTTTTTATCCCCATCTGATAATTTTAAGTCTTCTACTACCATAGTATTCTTGACTAATAGTTTAAAAACTTTAAACTACTAGAAAACATGACAGGCACATCTAACATTAAATAATGTGATTCTTTTGTCAATGGAACATCCATCTCAGGTACCTTTGGAACATCCAAAGAGATTCCGTATAGAGATGACATTTAGTCGTGGTGCAGATATAAGTTCCTTGGAGGTAATATTTATTCGTTTCAATATTTCTAATGACTTACATGAATATATTTTTTGCATACATCATGATCACACTATTCTTATGTATCGATGTAGAGTGGAGGCAAAGAATCTATGCTGCCTGATGACCACACAATGCCGATTATGGAGCCAGAGAGATTGCAGGAAGTTGGATCATATATCACCTTAGACAAATTTGATAAAATGGCTCGTCCATTTGCAATGCCAGCTGAAGATTTTCCTCCAGCTGCTCCTTCTCAACCTTTGCCCGTCCGATTCTGCAAGGATATCGAATTACAAGCAGGAAAACTGGTAATCTCTAGACCAATTACACTGAACACTACCATCAGTGGACAAAAGCTTTTTTGTATTTTCCTTTGGCCTTTATTCTGGTTGCTTTATATTGATGTGGAAACTGGGTGTGAGTTAGGGTATGAGTAGTAGGGTTGTTACAGGTCTGGAAACTAGAACCAGCTTAGGCATTTCTTTCAGGACCAGTATTAGCCCCATAGGTTCACCCACTAGACCTCACACTCTCAAAGTATCTTACCTATGTACTTGTGTTTTCTTCTAGTTTAAACACAAAACATCAAATTTGGAAAAAGGAATATTTCAGTCTTGAAAATTCAGGAGTAAACCAGCCAGTTTCTAGAGAGAAACCTGGCTAGTTCTGGTTCTTGCTATCATCAGTACCTTCGTACCATGGCATGTTTTTCTTTAGCCTCATATAAGCCAAAAGGAGTAGGAAGATTGTAACAGCCGTGATTTTCCATCTACTACCATTTGGAACAGTCTGATCCTGTGTTGCAGAACCTCCAATTTAGCCTGGGACATTCAGCTATTAGTAATAAGCTTTCTTCTACTTCTGTGAACAATCAATCAGGTAGAAATTATTAGTGCAATATTATTTACTTCTTCTGTCAATCAGCCAATCAACCAATCTTATTAACAGTTAACACCACCCATGAACAATCTATGAAACAGATACTACTGCAAGGCTGTTTTCCTCTTCAAACAGCTGACACAATCCGACTGTCTTGTTTTGACCAAAAATTTGTAATGTTTTTCTTTTCATTTCTATCTCACCATTTGACGATTTATACTACATTAATTCTCCATGTTTTTTTCTTTTTTAACTTCTTTCAAAATTTGCAGCAGCATAAGTCAGACATGCTGAGTGGTATTTTGAAAAGGAAGACAAAAAAACTTCAGAAATAGCATGCAACTGCGCAGCTGAGCTTCAATTTGGTTGAGTCGTCGTATGGCTTAATGAGAGACACTCAAATGGTTTACCAACAGACGACAAAATCCTTCAAATGGTTTACCAACGAACGGGAGTTTTACTGAGCACTCTACACATCGATGGCTAGGTTAATTGGCCAATGTGTTCAGGGTGCTGCCGGTGGCTTTTTCAGGATTTACAGGAACGCTGAATCCAAGGCCATGTGTGAGTGTGTTTGTTTGGGGACTCTTCTCCCCTTACACTCATGTACATTCTTTTTTAATAAAATGTTGTGCAATTCTCCTGGGTGTTCGAGAAAAAATATATATAACAGTGGTATTTCAAAGGAGCGTAAATAGAAACAGTCACCATGCTTTGAATCATTTTAATTTCATCTATCCTCTTTTTTCTGTTTTTCTAAGCTTTTAAAATGTTGAGTGACAGAATGCCTACACGACTCTGGTTATCCAGTTTTATTCTTCATCGGTTCTAGCTCCTCCGTCTACTCTACCTAACTCTAGCAGGAGCTAGAGCTGGCCCTCCCAAATAGGGCCTAAAACTTTAGAATTTGGTGGCACTTTTTGTTGCATCTTAATTCTGCATGGTAACATGTACCACAAAGACACATGGAAATTCCATGGTTCCACGAAAGCTCCTCATGAATGGTACTACGTACACAGAAGAGAGGAAAGAGTTACTCACTAGGAGTAAACGCAACATTGTCGCCTAGATTAATTAAGATTACAGAGGCTCACGTGAGCAGCCCTCAAGTTCCTAATACGTGAGCAGCCCTCAAGTTCCTAATAGGTTGTACAAAGACGACAAAGGCTGGTTTATCCCTTGGAAAACTACTTCACTACCCACACTCACTAGAAATCTAGAACAGATCATCATAGGCGACTATTTCCCGCACCTTGTAAGTCGCTCCAGAAGCTGCTTTGGAGCTCAGGATGGCTGAATTATCAGTAACGTTCTTCACCGTTGCATCGTGTGACGATCGCCCTGCGGGTTCAGCAGCCCTTATTGTGGTTCTTGAGTTATGTGGTGCCTCGCTGGCCTGTACGACTAAAACCTGTATCGCATCGAAGGAAAAAAAATGTTACCCAAGGTAAACGTGTGTATAGTTTGGGGAATTTGAGATTGAACACCGATTAGGGCCTTGTTTAGATTGCAAATTTTTGCAACCTGGACACTGTAGCACGTTTCGTTTGTATTTGACAAACTTTGTCCGATCATGGACTAACTAGGCTCAAAAGATCCATCTCGTGATTTACAACCAAACTGTGTAATTAGTTATTTTTTTTACCTTCATTTAATGTTCCATACATGCGTCTAAAAATTGATGTGATGGAGAAAGAGTGAAAAAACTTGAAATTCGGAGGTGATCTAAACAAAGCCTAGTCATAGATTTTGAGATGGGAAATGTGACTTGTGAGCAACCATAACGCAAATACTTCAGCCCACCAAGCATAATTATATTTCTGAAGCTTTTGAAGTTTTATTACTTAACAAATTTCTACTCCTACATGACACTACCGATGTGCTTGACATGAACTGGGGCAATGAACTTGGCAATAATCTTTTCTTCTTCAAAATGTGGTGTTTCGACCCCAATTCAGGTTTCTGCTGTCTAGTGTGTACAATCGAGGAAAAATAATTGCGCTACTACCATTTAATCGAACAACATTGCATCACAATCAAGAAACCTAGCCTTCATTACCTTCTTGGATCCGATGGCGATGCCTCCACCGGGGTCGACGGACGCGGCAATGGCGGCCACGGCGGCCGCACCGGACCGGAAGGTGACGTACCCGGTGGCCGCTGAGGCGTCGACGCGGGCCCGCGCGATGGGGCCATACGCCTCCAGCCGTGACTTGAGCTCCAGCACGCCGCAGCCGGGCGGCAGCCCGGCGACCATCACCGAAGACGGCTGGGGAGCAGCAGGCGCCGGAGTCGGGACGAGCTCAGGGTAGTCGTTTGACTCTATCTCCGGCGCGCCTCCGCGGCGGCGCTTCGTTGGCGGGGTCTGGGCTCGTGTGCCCGCGCTTGCCCCGGCGGCGCCGTGTCATGGCCGTGTGAGTCAGTACTCAGTCACACAGCGGCACAGATGAGGGCATGAGGCTGCTGGGAGCCTGGGATTTTTTTTTTTTTTGAGAGTAATGGGTAGCTATTCATTTCATTAAGCGATCATTACAAAGTGCTGGCCAAATGAAATCTGGTGGTACATAGTTCCAGATAGACTCATTAGTCTGATCGGCTGATTTTGCTAATACATGAGCTACCACATTACAACATCTACTCACACGAGTAAAAGAGAAAACAACATCAGTCGAAGATCTAACTGACTCCTTAATGTCTTGGATAATTATCGCAATATGGGATCGATCCTTGACCACCCGGCGAAGCTTCAAAATTAGGGAGAGACAATCAGAGGCAATGATCACCTGTTTAAATGGCAACTGGAGAGCGAAGTTAATCGCCCGCCTAAAAGCCACAGCTTCCGCCATTTTTGGATCAACGATGTTGTCCACACCCTGCCTGCATGCCGCAATAAAATCGCCATTGTGGTCTCTGGCCACAATACCCAGACCCATTCTATTGGTTTCCTTAAACAGCAGCATCCACATTAAACATGACCCAGCCTCCCGGCGGTGGACTCCATCTCTTAGGTTCGCTTGAGTCACACCTGTTGGGATTATGGGTAAAAAACATATGCTGCAGGACCATCTCCACATATGCCATGATCTTCTCCGCCACACAATGAGGGTGGATTTCCTTTTCTCCATTGCGCACAGCATTTCTTGCCTCCCAAATATGCCAAAGGGATATTGTGAGAATGGTGGCCTCCCTATCTGTACAAGAGTTTAACCTTTCAAATATCCATTGTGTAGCCTGGACCGGTGCTTTGTACATCCTAGAGAAGCCACATCTTAATTTAAATTCCTTCCAGATTTCAACAACATAATGACACTCCAAGAAAACATGATTCACTGATTCTTCTCTGCCACAGTGACAACAAAGATGTTGGGTTGGAATATTCCTATTTTTTAGTTGTTGTCCTGTCGGGAGACAATCATGGGCTACTCTCCATAAGACTATTTTCATTTTAGGCGGTGCTATAATTTTCCATAGTTTCTTCCACTCTATCGTTGACTTTGATTGGTCCGACCTCTCCGCTTTACCCTTCACTGAAGCTTTCAGAAAAATTGCATCCCTTTTTGCCATAATGTATGCTGACTTGACAGTGTATATGCCTGATTTGGTAAATGGCCATGAAGCAACATCTTCAGTTCTGTTGTGGCTCAAGGGCATTTTAACGATGCGTTCTGCATCAGCCGGCCTAAAACAAGCATGCACCAGCTCCTCCTTCCATTGCCTGGTTTCCTCATCAATTAAGAAGTCTACTGTCAGCTCCCCAGGCAGGGGCACCAGTGGCACAATTGGGTGACATGGAGCCTGGGATTCGGGAGTGGGAAAGACGGCAGAATCTGGGCGGGTACAGCTGGATGCGCTGAGATTCGTGTGCAAGACCAGCAAATCCATGGGTAAGAAACACAGCTGCAAATTGTAGCCGAAATTTTTGCCCTCGTTATTGTTTTCTTCTAATAATATTTTATGTTATATCTCTCCTCTTTGCCTTTTTATTTCGATAATGATCCAACACGGAGGTATGTCCGTAACTCCCGTTCGGACGTGGCTCCATAGGGGCGGGCCCCATCTCTCTCAGAAACAAAAAATATATATCCCCACTTCCTCGTATGCTTATCCGCTCGGCCCTGAAACAGCGTGACCGCTCATCCGTCCGCCCTTTTCCCTCACCGCGCGCTCGTTGGTCTGTCGTGCCCGCCCTTCCCACCATCGTCGGTCGCGCCGCGCGCCCTTGCTCCCTGTCACCTGCGTTGCTCACTCCCTTGTCGTCTGTCCATCGCCTATCGCCGTCGGGCATGCCGCTAACCCTGCCATGGCCGCTGGGGTGCACGTGCCGTGGCACCTCACCGGCTGAGCCAAGGGCGCCCACGAGCGTGCCCAGTGCTGGTGGTGCTCGTGCGCTGCCGAATCCCACTCAACGACCGAAATCGACCGGCCCCGGCCTTGCCCTCCCCTATGTTGCAAATTATGTTTCAAGTGTTTTCAGTGGTATGTTGCAATTGTTACATATGGATGTTGTAAAAGTAGATCGAGATGTTGCACATGTTGTATATTTTTTCAAGTGTTTTCAGTGGTATGTTGCAAGCGTTCTGAAAAAAGGGAAAATGTTTTATTTGTTTCAGACGTATATTGCAGCAAGTGTTTTATCTGGACGTTGCATATGTTTCATACACATGTTGCAAGTGTTTTATCTGTTTCAAACATATGTTGCAACTGACTGGTTCAAATGTTTCATTTGTGTCCGACGTATGTTGCATCCAAGTGTTTTATGTTGCAAGTGTTTCATGGAGCACGTTGAGTGCCGGGGATGAGGTGCGATAGAGCTCGGGACCGACGGACGGGGGCGCAGCGAGGTGGGGGTCGACTCTAGGGCCCCACCCACGCGGAGAGAGAGGGGGGTCAGGGGGAAGGAGCGAGACACAGCGGGGGGAGAAGGGGGCAGGGTGCGCGTTCGAGGCAGGGCGGGCTACGCGGCCATCCATCCGAACACGAGGAGCGACAGGCACAACTTCGAGGGCAAGGTGCACGTGCGAGTTGGATCGAAGCGGATGGATGCAGGCTGCGTGGGCGTTTAGTCTGGATGCGCGCGTCCATCCAAACGTTCGAGCGCTAGCCACGCCATTTTTATTTAGCTTTGTTTTGGTTTGGAGAGCTTAAGGGGTGTTCACTTGTACCTTGAGAATGAATGCAGCAATAAACAAATTGTAGATTTTTTTCCCTCAAACACGCAGGAGAGCTGCGCGTCAATATATTAAGATAGAACAAACGATCCGATTACAAGCCGACTCCACAGCATGGGTTAGTTTTTAACACAGTCACCCTTTGAGATGTAAAAAGCCATATATAGTAACTAACCCAACACCTCTCCTAGAGCACTAGCTGCAGCCATCACCCAGAGCACTGCTTGCTCAGCAATCTCCTGTAGCACCAATGCACCATCCGGACATCTGGTTTACAAATTGTAGACTCAAAACTATACCGGGGACAAGACAACACCGTACAAAAAAAAAATTCTTCTTTTTCAATTTTTACTTTTACCTTTCAGGAATGGTCAAGAAACATCAATGATGCCGTCCAAATCATGCTCATACTTACAAGGATGAACATACAACAAGTATCTTAACTACAGTTCAATACAGTCGCAAATGAGCGCGCGTTTAGTTCCCCAAAGTTGGATTTTGGGACTACTGTAGCACGTTCGTTTTTATTTGGCAACAAATAGTGTTCAATCATGAACTAATTAGGCTCAAAACGTTCGTCTCGCAATTTCCCATCAAACTGTGCAATTAGTTTTTTTTTCGTCTACATTTAATGCTCCATGCACGGACCACAAACATTCGATATGATAGGTACTGTAGCCACTTTTTGGAATTTGGAGTCCAACTAAACAAGAGCTGAGATTGCTTTCTTCAATGAAACAATAGGAGCTGCTGCTGCAGGGCAAGCATATGAGCAATAGACGTGGTTTGGACACGAACTGACGAGCAGCACAAAAGATGAGCTCGAAATGAAGAGCTCCTGCTACTAGCAGCAGCCCCTTCAGTCATTGATGAACAGCTACAGAGGGGTTCTGAAACAAAGGAACCTCTGCAGCCACTCGCGGTCCTCCAGGGTCTGAATGTCAACTACTTCAATGATGCTTCCTTTTGCTCAGGAATGGAAATGCTCTCGTCAGGGGGCATTTTCTTTTCACCACAGCATTTGCTGCTGCTGGACCTCGCCTATTTCAGGTCAGATCAGGAGAGCCAACATGTGCGGCACTGATTCTATTTGAATTGGCTCCTAGAAGTCCCTCCAGTTGCTTTCAGTGCAGTCTCTCTGAATCTGCTCCCATTCAAATGTCTGACTGCAGCTTTCACAGGTTTATATGCAAATGTGCTCAGATCAGGAGGACTGTCTGCAATTTTCGTAGCTGTGCCTGCATATTTGCTCCGATCAGGATAGCAGACAGTAGGTGCCACGGATGTGTATGCAAACGTTCCCAGATCAGCAGGACCATCAGTACTGTCTGTAGCTTTACCTGTGGTTTTGTCTAGATCAGAAGCAGCAGTTTTCATAGGCCTATAAGCAGCGCTAATATCAGGGGGGCTGACAACACTTTCCATATCACTTGTGTATCTGCTTTTTGAAGTGGGGCCTAGACCTGTTTTCTTTGCTGTGCGTCTGAATGTGCCTTGTTCTGGAGCTTTGAGAATAGATCTGTAGCAGAAATAAGCATGGCATAAAAAATAAATACTTATGCATAACAAGACTGTACTGTCTCCAATCATACTTAATTTCCTTAGAAGTTTTAAATCTCTCAAAAAAGGTTCTAGAGTTGCATACCTCACAGAAAGTGTATTCTTCACATCCTTTAAAGGAGCACGAAGGCCACTGGCACGGGGGCCTGGGTATCTGAAAGATGATACCAATGCAGCAAACTTATCCATTGATTTTTCTGCAATTCCACTGTATGTATTCACATGGGAAACATTGCATCCAAATCTTCTTTCAGTTCTTATATTTGTATCATCAGGGTCATCTGTATCTTGACCTGCAGAAGTTTCTTAGATTAAAACAAACGAATTAAGAAAGGCTTATATAGTTTGATACATAAAAAAATATATCACAATACAGGAAGAACTACTTGGAAGATCAAGAAGGCACCTAAGACTGTTACAGGATATGATGCCCCAAGGTTGCATCTCTAACTTATTGGACTTTATCAACTACTCAATCCATCCCAAATTGTAAGACGTTTGACTTTTTTGACACCAAGTTTGATCACTCGTCTTATTCAAAAATTTGTGTAAAATATCACTTCTTTCGTCGTGGTTTGGTTTATTAATAAAAATTATTCAAGAATGACTTAAATTTGACTATATTTGCACAAATTTTTTGAATAAGACGAGTGGTCAAACTTGGGGCCAAAAAAGTCAAACGTCTTACAATTTGGGATGGAGGGAGTAGAAGAAAAGGTAGATAGTTACCTTCATCAACGACTGGTGGACTATCGTCAGAATGAATCGGTTGTAAAGTTTCCTGCATAAACAGCATATTTAGGACCAGCTATATACTGTATGAGGTGCTAGTTGTCATATGATGATTCAAAAGAAGAAAAATACATCTTCGAAATTTTGGATGCCAGAAAGCTTTCTTCTCTTCAACATGCCAGATTTCCTCAGTTGATCTCCAGAAAGATTACCAGTACCAACATCATAGTCATCATCTAACTGGTCTTCTTGATCTGTGCAAATTCTCTTATTCACCGTTTTAAAGTATGAACTCCTTACGGTAATGTCATTATTTTTAGAGGCCACAATGCTTTCAGTATGATGTTGAACTGGTATAGATGGTCCCACGTTATGGGGAAGTAAAAATGGCTCTGATGTCCAGGGTAATTTCCTAGAAAAAGAGAATACACACAAGCTAAGAATCAATGACAAGATTGTTTTGATTTTGTATAACCAAATGATTCAGATCATGGTTTGCAGATTGAATCATGAATCAACTATGCAAATCAGATGTATTACCCGCTAAGCAAGGACTTGTAGGTATTGTATTTTCGTTGCCATAGTCAGCCTCAACCTGAATGGTACAAACAAGCTTTGAGGGCGATAGAAATGTGGCTGCTACATGAGTTAATGAACAGGACAGCATTGGATATGTCTAGATGATGAAGTGATGGGAAGTACTAAATACCTTTATGTCTTTAATGCTTGTATCCTTGTAAGGAGGATCACTACCACCACCAAGTGAACTGCATTGAGGTGAAATATTGGCTGAATCATCGAGGGGGTACTCACAGCTGAAACGCTCAGAGCTACACTGAGAGCCAACACTGATTGGGCCACTTTGAGGAGGTTCAGAGCTTAAATGCTCAGAACTACATTGAGAAGCTTGGATGTGATCTGTTGGCAACCTAGTATCTTCAACTGAATCAGGGGTACCAGAGCCTTGAGTTTGAGGGCTAGGCAAAGATTCATTCAATATTGGTTGCTTATGTGTTACTTTTAGGCGCCCTGAATTTCCGTTTTGCCTCAAGGGATGCTAAGCCTTAGAAAAAGTCAAGGTAATCCAACAGGCAGTTTATTATTGTGTACAAGTCATTCAAATAAAGTAATGAAGCCAATCACAACGTTGGTGTGAATATTATGCCACTAAAAAAACTACAGATTATGTCAACAGCCCCGCCTGTTAAAATACCGAGGGAAAATATAAGCTGTTATTAAATGATCTAAGACATGTCTAAGAACACAAACTTTGATACTGAGCTCAAGGCACTTATATTGTTGTGATTTTTTATATAATATGTCGATAAGAGTTTACTATTAGTAAGCAAACGATTGATGTGACGTATTCATGACTGAAATTGCAATATGTTGAGAGGATACAAAAATAGTTGGTCAATATATTTTTCTGCACAGGCAAATCTAGCTTCTTCCTCCCATTTGAAGGTGCAATAGGCTCTCTGGTTGGACAAACCTTATGAACAGCAGGTGCACTGCACTCTGGTTTGATCTGCAAGAAGCAATCAAGAAAAAAAAGGCTACAAGTAAATATTGGTAATTCGCATGTCCTGACAACTAAGTGCATGTCAGTAAGTATATAGTAAGAAGTGACACAAAAAGTGTATGTAGTGCAACAACCAAAAAAAATGAAATTGTGACCATCTATGGTCCATATACACTCCCTAACAAAATACCCTTGCATCTCCATAAACCCTCCTGTTTGGAACATCCATATTTTCATGAAGTTATGCTGTGCTTTTCTGTGTAAATTTGTTTGTCTTAAAGTGCACGCATTTCATATGCAGTGTGCAATGAAATTAGATTTGTGCTTGGAGAGAGAGAGAGAGCATATGATAGAAAGTGGGGAAAACAAGCATAAAGTTCACATAAATGTGCATCAGTCCAAATTCTTTCCGAAAAGAGACAGGATACCTCGAATGGTTCCTTTGTGAGTGGATCAATGTTCCCTAGAGCAATGCCTTTGGCAATATTCTGTGGTAACCATGTAAAAAAAAATAATTAAGGAAAAGCTCTAATTCATGAGTTTCTTCTGAGTTTGAACTTTTTTAATTATTAAGAAAAGCTAGCAAGGCAAGGCCCTTAGCTTATTTCTAAACTCAACTGCAATGGTCATTAGACAGAGTGGCCTACTAAATTCAGGAAACAGCTTCACAACATCTAGAACAGTGGATAATCACATATGAAATAGCTTTAACATCAAAATATAAGCTTGGCAAAGGATATGGGCCCAAAAAATCCAAATCTTCAATGAGGTCATGAGGCACACTTGACAAATGAATAATATCTTCTGTAGCAGGATCATAGACCCTTTGGAACTTAAATGCCCAGATTGCCTTCTTGAAGTCCTCTTCATATTGAGGTGGAACAGAAACAGCACCATACCTCAGGTGCTTGATCACCTGCAGTTATACATGTCAATGAAACTCCCTTCACCGTCTGTTAAGTTCTAACTAGGCACAATGGTAGCATGTGCAAGTGACACACAGAAGATAGGGTTTACCTTTTCATGACACTTTAGCTTTTGGATGAGTGCATGAGCTCGTTTCACACCCATTCCTGACAATGAGGGGAGATAGTCACAGCCACTTAAAATACACATCTCGAGTAACATTTGTCTTGTGAATCCATTAAAATCAAGCTCTCTATTTCGCTCTAGTCGTGTAATCTGAAATTCAACACCTTGCCCAAATTTGTCCATTTTGAAAATAATCTGCACATTAAAGAAAAGGTGTACATTATTAAAGGGCATATAACAAGCTATGAAAGGAAATCTAGCTGAGTATGAGAGGATTATGAAAGATGTAGAGCACAGGACAAAGGGTTGTAATTGTGTACTTACTCTAGAACAACCAAATGGTATCAAATCTGAATCCTCAGTGATCACAGCATCAACAAGTTTATTAACAGATAAGAATGTCATTTGTGCATCTGCTTCATAAGGTGCAACAATATAATCAACCTTTTCTTTCTTCAGTACCTACATCGCATATTTTAAGAAGCATTTAAACAAGTCTGTTAGAAATATTTTAACTAGGTGGTAACTGTTAGGTGTTAACATTACAAGGAATTTTAACTGTACCTCAATCAGTTCAGAAGCAATTCTAGGTGTAATGTCAACAGCTTTCTGATAGCACTCAAAAGCAGCACGTGAGTTCCCAGCAGCCTCATGTTCCCTGGCACGCTCAAGGTTTTCCTTTCTTGACCTGAAGGATGACATTTTTAGCAGGTAACTTACAGCACATGAGAAAGTGCATCAGGATAGCAAAGCAGAGTTTAAGACCTAACAGATCCACTTAAGATAGTGTAAAAGTAATGTAAATGTTTGTTGGCAGTTGAAACATGTTGGCTCTTCGCTGTTTAGAGCAAACGTGTCGCAAATAGAAACAATGTAATAGGTCCGCAAATATTCCGGTTCACTATCGTCTAGGTTCCGTCCTTCCTCAGTAATCCATGGATTATCGAGGAGTGTTGTAACCATGACACTCTGCTTCTACCTAATGAAATACGTGTCGCTAAGGCACGTTCGCGGGGGGGGGGCACATGTTGGCTCTTTCTGAAACCCAAACTAGAGGTCTAGAGCATACCTTGCCCGCTTCGTCTCTTGATAGCTCTTTATTGGCAGAAGGCCTCCATCAAATACAAGAATTGGTTTGACACCAAAATGCCGCAACATGTTAACCCGATGCATGCAATATTCAATATGCCTGCTTCAATTTCAAGGGGAAAACCATCACATGTGAGTTTATAGTAAAACCCCAAACATGTTAAAGAATTGGTGCTTAAACTATATGATCCACTATTTCATCTAAGACTTCTTAGATCTCATCGAAGAGTTCTGATATTAAGATATCTAGGTCAGAGCTGTACCGTAATAATTGCTAGTTAACAGAGTGGAGGGGCCGAGGGGGCAGCTGTGATGTTAGCGTTTGCAGATACTTCTGTACATTGAACGTTTTGGGCTAACCTTTCCCAGATTGATACATTGTGTTATTGTAACAAAGCAGCACCAGATGGCAGCCAGGAGCCACACATATACCCCCCTCCATCCAACATAAACAAGCCCCAAACCACACCAAGGCAGACGATATGACCAAATAAAATGCAATACATTTCTACTACACGATGCCTGAGGCAATGCAAACAAAAAATCTCCCCTCACAAACGGGCAAAATCTTGAAGAATTGTAAGCAAAACACTCCTTTCTCCACCCGAAAAGGGTTTCGCCAATCCGGACCCAAACAACAGAATCAAACCAAGAAAACCCCTGCCCTCACGAAGCAATCGTTCCCAGGACTGCCACGATGTCGAAGGGCTCAGGTGCGAAATCAATCGGAAAGAACCACATTTCATCGATGCGCCCATCATGTGAACCGCGGCCGGCGGAACGGCTCAAGAAACCCTACAGTGTCGGAGCGGAAATTGGTCCAAGAAAGGAGGCGGCGGAAGGGGGACCTGGTGGTGGGGATGCCCTTGCAGAGGCGGTCGCCGCAGGATAGAGCGCCCTTGTGGAGCCAGGAGTAGGTGTCGACAGCCACCGTCTGGCCCCGCAGCTCCTCCGCGCTAATGGGCGCCATGATTGACTTCAGCTGCGGCAGCAGCCCCTGGATCCCCATTGTCGCCGCCGCCGACGCCGCTGTCCCCTCCCCCTCGCCTCTCTCTCTCACTCAAGTCTCTCTCCCTCCCTCCCTCCCTCTCTGATCCCAGTCCGGAGTCCGCTGAGATGGTGGAACCCAGGAATGTGGAGGGATTTTTGTGGGTTTTCTAGGAAGGAGAAGAGAGGAGAGGAGAGCGCGGGAAGCAGAAATGCCAAATGGACAAGGGAGGGAAGAATCACCGAATCAGGGAGGGGACATTACGTTAGTGTAAAACGCCACGCCTTTTCGTCTTTTTACCTCGAGAATGCAAGCCACATTCGACATCGGGTTCGTGGTAAAACCGGATTTGGTTTCCTATCCATTAAATTCTAATGTTGGTGCAATATTTGAAGTTTGTAAAATATTCTATAAAATATTATTTTATAATATATTTAATTGGTATCATAAATACTATATTTTTCTATAAAGTCAACTAAACTTAAGATAGTTTAATTTAGAGTGGTTCTAGGAATTGATTTATTTTAGGATAAAGAGAGTAAAATACTCCCTGCATTCCTAAAAGAATGCAATTCTTGTCTTTTAGAAGTCAAAACATTTTTAAATTTACTTAAAACTATAAAAAAATATTAACACGTCTGATACAGAATGTGTTATTTAATTAATTATAAATATATTTTTATAATATACTTATTTAGAGTTGTAAATATTATTAAATAATAGCTTCTAAATTTAGTTATTAAATTTTAAAAAGCTTGACTCGATACAAACTCAAGATTGCATCTTTTAGGACAGAGATAGCAAGATACTTAAACAGATGCCGTTTTTCCAAAATAATAATAATAATTTTCTCAACTTAGTGAAAATGACCAATTACTTGATCAAATTGTTCAGATGGCCAACCCTTTGGAGATCAGTGAACATGAACCGATGGTCCTCTCACTACCGTCTTCTTTCAAATGACCAATTACTTGACTAAATTGTTTAGATTGCCACTTTTTGGCAATCAGTAAGTATGAACCAACGGTTCTCACTACTGCCGTGTTCTTTCGGACTACCCTTTTTACTTGAATCGAACCATTACAATGTAGCAGACATCGTTTGAATCCTTTCTTTTGTATTAGTTGCCAAGCTTCTAGCTTTGACAACTTCGGGCCATTTAGGAAGACGGTCTTTACATCAATCTAATGAAATTTTAAATCATAACATGTCACCAGTGTCAAAATAATTCTCAAGAAATCATTCTTACAAACTGGAGAAAAAATCTATGTATAGTCAACACCATCTTTCTGAGTAAAACCTTTGGCAATAATTCGATTTGTATATTCAAGATTGCCTTCTTCAGTTATGATTGGTCTTAAAGACCCATTCACGCCTGATTTGTTTTGAACCTTGAGGCAATTCAACTATTTCATAGACATTGTTGTCATCCACCCATTTTAACTCTTCTTCATGGCATCAAACCACTTTTGAATTTTTTTTTTCACAATACGTGGTTTGCTTAGATGAGATAGAATCATTTTCCATACTCTTAAGTGAATAAACCACGTAGTCATTTGAAATTGCGGGTCTTCTCTGCCTTTCAGACCGTCTTTCAGCAGTGTTGCTAGGCTGTGATACAACGATGCTAAGAGTATTATAGGACTTAACTTCATTAATATCCGCTTTTGGGCTTATTTGGATGTCCTCGTATTCGCCTTAATCCACATATGTTGAGGTGGATTAGAGTAGAACTTAAATTATCTTCCACATGGATTGAGATGAATATGAGTACATCCAAACAAGGCCGAAATGGATTCTCATTCCCATTGATCTCACACGTTCTCAATGAACCAAGCATTTCCTGTCTCAAAAATTCACAAACTATGACTAGCATAATAAATTTTGTACCCGTTGGAATTTTTCGGACAGCCAATGAAGTAACCACTAACGGCACGCCTAGCGCCGGACGTCCGGACGGACAGGACGCATCCGGACGCCCGAGTACGCTGCTGCGCTACCCCTGCCCGCGCGCCCGTCTGTAACCCCTCCGCTCCCACACACATGCACGTGGGCCCAGCTTCCATCGGACGCCCACTCCCCCGGACACCTGACACACCCCGCACCACACCCCCATCCCCATCCGTTCGCTTTCACCTCGCAGAAAGTAAGATGCCGCCTGTCGTGCCCCTGACACGCCCCCAGAGCGCCGCACACCGCGTCCACCGCCTCGCCGCGCCCCATTCCCTGGCGCCCCCTGACTCTCTGAACAGCATGAAACACGTGTAACATGAAACACTTGAGTGTAACATACGTCTCAAAACAGATGAAACATTTAGAACATACAGTTGCAACATATGTATGAAACATATGCAATATCCAGATAGAACACTTGCAACATTTGGAACATACATGTCGGTGTTTTGGAACCGGGGGTCCCTCAACCAACGAGTGAATTTGTGCTGCGTGCCCCTAATCCCGGATGGTGGCGCAAAAAGACACAAGGTTTATACTGGTTCAGGCAATCGAGGCCCTACGTCCAGTCCGAGAGATCGATCTTGTATTCCTTGCACCGGAGTGCTCGTAGTAGGGGTTACAAGCTAGGTGAGAGAGGAACTAGCCCTGTGTCTCTCGGCGAGTGTGGTGCGGGCTGCTTGAGGCGTTGTTCCCAAGCAACAGGAGTGCGTGGTTCTATCGGCGTGTTCGTCTTTTCGCCTCTCTCCCGAAATGGCCCCGATCCCTCCCTTTTATACTCTAAGGAGGACCGGACCGCGTGCTGCAGTGCTACATAGCGCTTCTGTAAATGGGGTGGCGTGTCCGAGCCCTGTAGTCGGCCACTGTTGTGGTATGGTCGATGGAGTGGCCCCGTCCTTGTCATGCGGAAGTGACATGCTGGTCATACTCGGTCTTGTGCGTCGTGGGGCTCCAGTACGGCTTGATGCAGGACATGGCGGGCGACGTGCTGGTCGCCGTGTAATGACGTCGTAGGGAGCAGCGGCTCTGCAGATGCCGAGGCCGAGCCATCGTGGGGGGCTCGGTGGTCATGGACCCTCAGGCTGCCGAGCCCGTGAAGCAAACTGTCGAGGCCTTGGGGGAGTTATTGGCCCCACAGGTGCGATCCGAGGCCACAAGATGCCAGACGTGGCTCCCCATGCTGCGTTGTCCTTGGAGGCGAGAGTTGGCGACGCAAGTGAGGCATGGGTGTCAACCATGTGCGCGGTGGATAGCATAGTGATGGGTAACCCCTGCCCGATCCGGGGACGTCGGGTCATCGCGTGATGGCGTCGTGGGGGGCGTGGCTCTGTAGGTGCCGAGGCCAAGCCATCGCTGGGGGCTTTGGCGGACATGGGTCCTCGGGCGTCGAGCCCTGGAGCAAGCCGCCGAGGCCTTGGAGGAATTATTGCTCCACAGGTGCGATTAGAGGCCCACAGTAGCCGGATGTGGCTCCCATTGCATTGACGTCATGCCTCACTATGCGATAGTGAGGTCCGCGGGCGAGGATATGTGAGGCATGGGGAGCAACCATGTACCGTGCGCCCCGGGCATAGTCAGAGTCGCGTGATGACGTCCTCCAAGGCTCTGCAGTGCGATCCGGGGGCTTTGGCGACACCGAGGACCCATGTCCGTGAAAGCGTCGTGATGGCTTGGCTCTGCAGGTCGCACCGAGGACAATGCAGAGAGCCCAAGCCATCACGACGCCATTTGACTCGGACATGGGTCCTCGAGCATCGGGCCCCGTCGGCTATAGCACACCAGGCCTCAGCGTACATGGTTGAGGACCCCATGTGCACGGTGGTTAGTACCCATCGAGCCACGTTTAATGGCGGTAACCCCGCCCGGGGATCCGCCTCTGTCCCATGGTTGCCATTCACGCATCTTGTCTTGTAACCCCGCCTGCGGGCATGCGGCCATTTGTTGTCGAAGCGTGATTGTTGAGTTGATCGAGTTGATGACGTTTTGCCGGAGGGACGGGAGAAGGAAGAGGTAGCGGAGTCTTCCGCCGAGCCCGCCTGCTTGGCGAGACGGAGGGGTCGGTGGCCTCGGCCGAGGCCTTTGGCGGGGAATCGACCGAGGGCCGCGGTGGTGGGGCCTCTCGGCGAATCGGAGAATCGGTGAGGTCCATGGTGATGAGGCCTCGGCGAAGTCGGAGAATCGGCCGAGGGCCAGCAGTGATGGGGCCTCGGGCGAGTCGGAGAATCGGCCGAGGGCCAGCAGGCGTTAAATGGTTTCGATCTTTACAAAATCTAAGCGATGCGTTTTTGGATCTTGCTTAGGGTACCCTTCTCATGGTATCCGACAAAGAGGCCCCGAGCCTTGGGGGAGTGGAGGCACTCCCGAGGTTCGACGAGAATTGGCTCTTGATAGCTCCTGCCGGGATGGTGTTTTGTTTTCGAGGTTTGGTGGGTGCTGTGAAGCGCACTCCACCAGTGTAGCCCTCTTGAGGCCCCGGAGGTGATTTCACTTCTTCAGGGGCTTTTTTCTTCGAGTGAGGCGTTTTGATCGTGTTTGCGGGCCCGTGGGTGCGAGTTCGGATCATGGGGCCTCGGCGATGTTAAGCGGAAAGAGCCCTTAGCCTCACTTTGAGCGAGAGGGCCGTCAGGGGTTCTCCCGGCTTTTTTGTACGACCCTCGTGCTTCCTTTTCGCTCGGAAGGAGGGGTGAAAGATGCCATGCCACCCTCGGTGGGCGCGAGCGATGGCATCTCCGGTGAGCTGTTATCGGGTAAGTCCGAGTGGAGGCCCGCACCCGCTCGGCTGGGGTCGGCTAGCGGTCCCGGAGACGCGCTCCAAGAGTACCGGAGGGTTTCTCTAGTTGGTGCCGAGGCAGGCCGTCATTTGGGCCTCGGTGGCTCGGTGCCTCCCTACGGTGGGATCCCATTCGGAGACCTCCCTACCTGGGTCTCGGACACAACACAGGCGTGCTCGCATGACAGGCTCGCCTGTAGTCGCCCCTCGACTCTTTGCCCCTGGGCAATTGCCGAAACCCACAGGGGCCCAGCTTTGAACCCCTGGACCGTGAATGGATCGGGTCGCTTGTTTTTAT